GGCCGGGGTGAGGGGCTGGGGGAACCGACGGGCACCGGGCACCCCGCGCCCGGACCTGCCGAGCCCATCCTTGTGCCACCTTGCACCGTATAGAGCCCATACGTCCTGCACCCTGTGTGCAATATAGAGCCCACGGCTCCAACCCCAGACACCCCATGGGCACAGTATAGAGCCCCTTCCCCCTATAGCATCCACCCACGGGCACAGTATAGAGCCCCTTCCCCCCTATAGCATCCACCCACAGGCACAGTATAGAGCCCCTTCCCCCTATAGCATCCACCCACAGGCACAGTATAGAGCCCCTTCCCCCTATACCATCCACCCACGGGCACAGTATAGAGCCCCTTCCCCCTATACCAACCACTCACAGGCACAATATAGAGCCCATTCCTCCTATACCATCCACCCCACGGGCACTGTATAGAGCCCCTTCCCCCCATACCATCCACCTCCCGTGCACAGTATAGAGCCCCTTCCCCCTATACCATCCACCCCACGGGCACAGCACAGAGCCTGTACCTCCTATATCATGTGCATGGTATGGAGTCCATACCTCCCACACCACACACCACCTGTACATGGTATAGAGCCCGTATCTCTGACACTAACGTGCTCAGTATGGAGCCCATACCTCCCCCAGCACGCGGCTAGCATGACTCAGGACTGGACTCGTGCCTCCTACGCCATAGATCCAGCACGGCTCAGTATGGAGCCCATACCTCCCCAACCACACATCGCACACCCTCAGCGTGGAGCCCACAGCTCCCACACCATCCACGCAGCGTGGCTCGGTGCAGGACCTCCCTCCCACAGCAGGTACTTAGTATGGATTCCATACATCCTCTGCCATCCACACGGTGCTGCTGGGCTCCCTCCTGCAGTAGCAACCAGCCTGGCTCCATATGGATTCTATACATCCCACACCATCCATGCAGCATGGCTGGGATCCCTCATGCAGCAGGTACCCAACGTGGATCAGTATGGATTCCATACATCCTATGCCATCCATGCAGCATGGCTGGGATCTCTCATGCAGCAGGTACCCAACGTGGATCAGTATGGATTCCATACATCCCATGCCATCCATGCAGCGTGGCTGGGATCCCTCATGCAGCAGGTACCCAAGGTGGATCAGTATGGATTCCATACATCCCATGCCATCCACACAGCGCAGCTGGGCTCCCTCCTGCAGTGGGTACCAGCCTGGCTCCGTATGGAGCCCATACATCCCACACCACCCATGCACTGTGGCTGGGATCCCTCACACAGCAGGTACCATGGTGGCTCCATATGGATTCCATACATCCCCCACTACCCACATGGGTGGCTCAGCCCCCCCCTGCAGCGGGTACCACCATGGCTCAGCATGGACCCCATACCCCCCCTTGCCCACAGCATCTCCC